TTTCTTATTAACAACGAAACTCTAAAAATAAGGTATCCATATAAGGAATACAAAAATTAGATGTTTTTAATCCCATATGAAATAAATGTTCACTTTCTCCAAAAATCATCTTGCCTTAGTTATTATTAAAGCCTCTAGTTGGTCTTGATGGAGAAATGAAAGCAACTTAATGTCTATGATACGAGAATTTGATTATGAAATTAACATTACCAAGTACTCAAAATAATTCAAGATGGTGAAACTTAACGGCAGACATCCTATTGCATCTCTTGTTATTCATGTTTATAATACTTAACTCAATCCACAAAATCTAGTAAGTAATTTAGTGGAGAAATTAACCTGGTCTTGTCACTTCCTATTACTTTGTATCTAGTTGATGTGCCAAATAACTTTTTATATTTTATTAAGTATAGCCTTTCATGTCTCCCTTAATTTATTTTTCAATTACTTTGTTTCACTAGGTACTTTTTCATTTGTAGGAGAAATTTGAATAAAAGAAAGATGAGTTATTATCTCAGGTTCGGAGAGGATGCAATTGATGGTGAACAATCCATGATCTAGATGTCATTAAATTTGGATATATGGATCAATTAGTTGGGAAACATATTTGGTTTTGGATTTCTAGGCAAAATATTAATCATATCTTCAATTAAGCAAGTAAATTTTGAAAATGTTGATGCTTTAAGGAGTCAATTTCAAGCCTTAAATGAATAATTACATAGGCAAGAACAAGAAAAATAAGTAATGAAACAAGAGTTACAAAGACAAAAAAAGGATAAACTAAAAATGAAAAAGAGTTTACTGAAACTACGAATTAGATAGCGAGCATTAATGCAATACTTAGGGTTTTGTTGCATCTTCTTTTGATGCATCCTCATCATCTCAGCAGTAGTAATAGAAATGATGATAATAAAGATAGTGATTATATTGAAGATGATAATATTTAATAATTTATTCTTTAATTATTATAACACTAGGTGATAATGAAATTGTAGGGAGTTAAAAATATGGCATGATTTTGATAACAACAATTATTTGCTTTGATGCATTTTTTTTACAAGATTTTAGTGCTTTGAAATTATTTATATTAAATTTAATTTGTTGTGATACTTTAATGTTTGAGTTTAGTCATTCACATTTTTTGGTTTGAATTTATAAGATTAAAGATTTGATATGATTATGATAATGACAAAAATTTGGTTTGATGAATTTTGGACAACTCTTTTTATTTTAATATCTCCACATTGTTGGGATTAAAAATTATGACAAACAATTTTAAAAAATTTGCACTATTTGATGATAACATTATGATTTATTCATGTTGTTGTTGCATCTTGAATGAAGACATGTTATTTTGTAGAATAATTTAATTGAAATTCACCATGGAAATGAGAAAATACAAGGGAATAAGGTTCTTTTATAGAAATGAGTCTCATATTTTTAGACAATCTCATATTTCTAAACATTGATAATTTTATTTCATGCCCTTTATGACAATTTCATTCATGGATATAATAATACTTTGTTTTGTTTATATTTTATCTTGAAATTCACAATGATCATATTTTTGTAAGAATAAATAATTATTTTTCAAAAGAAAAAAAAATTCATGTTAATTTTGCCTTGTTTAGTCAAATAAACAAACACAACTTTTTTTATAATAATTTAATTATGTAATAAAGAAAACATATAATAATTTTTTTCAATTTCACACACACATAATAATAATATATATATATATATATATATAATTTTAAATTTATACAAATTTTATGCGAATCTTCTTGAAAAAAATAACTTCACAAGAAATTACATGTGAATTTTAAATTAACAAGAAATTTTTTACGAATTTAAAATTAACAAAAAGTTATTTGCAAAACACGAAAATTTGAAATTGGTAAAAATTTACACGTATATTTAAATTGGTAAGAAATTAAGTGTGAATTTAAATTGTAAAAAAGTACGTACAAATTTTTGTAAGAAATTACATGTATATTGAAATTTGTAAAAAATTACTTGCAAATTTTTTCTAATTTTGTGCTAATAAAAATTAGTATAAAAATTCATAGAAATTTTATTTTGTATGAATTTTTATGAAAAATTTGCAAAAAAATCACATAAAAAATAAAAAATCCTAGTAGTGTTCTCTACTCTATCCCATTATTTAAGCTAATTGCTCTAAATGGTTATCTTTGTGTTTTTAACTTGTAATTACGATTTTTAATATCAACATAAGAAAAATAATCAAAGTAAAATATTATTGATGTGAAAAGTCCTCGTATTGGTGGGAATATCATTTAAAAATAGTAATATAAGTAAGAATCTACATATTATATTAAATAAAAATGATAAAATTAAATAATATATAGAAAAACTTATACCTTAATATTTTAATAGTTTGAAACAAAAAAAATATAAATTTTATTTTTTTTAAATTACTTAGTATTTTTTTATATGACAATTCAAATTTATTAAATTATAATTTATTTATTTAGATAGAACATGTGTCTTCAAATTTTAGGGCCTTGATCGAAATTGGGTTACTATGAATACTAGACAAAGAAGATAATCCTTGAATAGCTACTTGTGTTCATCGTCAAGATTGTAGTTTGTGCAAGTTATTACACCTATGGTTAATGGAATTGTTGACTTGTCCCTACTGGATCCTTTGAGTATTATCCATACATTATTCTTCCTAATTATCATTTACATCTATACTTTTATGTGCCACTCAGCCATTTCTTTTTAGTTTGGGTTGGTGGAATTTGTTAAGATCTAGGGTAATTTGATAAGAGAAGATAACACATGTAGTGGTGTGAAATTTTGTTGTAAAGGTCAAAAGCATTTACATAGCGGCTATATTGAAAAATGACTATAGTTTGACCACTATTGAGTTTGGTAACTAGTTGCAAAAATAATTACATTCAATAACAACAATAAAATATATAATGTACCACATAGTTTAGGTTTATGCTATCTAGTTTTAACAGATTAGTTTTTTATATGTATATGTAAATAAATTAAAATGTTTTTTTTTTGTAAATATTCATTTTGTAGTATTTCCAATTATTAAAATTTAATAGAGGAAAATCAAATTAAACGTAAAATAAATAGTTGTAATTTAGGCTAAATTATACTTTTAATTTTTATTTTATATTTAGATTATTCCTTATTTAAGAAAAAAGTAGTTAATAATGTTTTTAGAGTGAGTAAAAAAACTATTATGTAATTTTGAATTGGATAAAATATGATTTGGGGAAAATATTATTGTAAAATATAAACATTTTTTTTCTAACTTTTTAACTATTAAATTTTTACTGACGTGATAGATAAAAGATAATGTTATTACATACTTTTTTTAAAATTAAATTTAAATATTGATAATAAATGCTACGCATTAAGCTAAACATATATTAAAAATATACTAGTCATCCATTTGGTATCATTAGTACACTGTTAATTTTCTTTATGAAATCACATACATCTACGATGATAATTTTTTATATAAAAAAATGTTGATTAAATTATTATAAATTATATTTTTAATATATTTAATTTAATTGTACCAAATGAGAATGCATTCAACCATCAACATTAGGGTTGAAAGACCAAGGTAGAGAGATGAAAACATGAGATTGGTTCATCACGTGAACAAGTGATTGAAGCACCAACTTTACAGTAATAAAATAGTGCCATTAGGGTTTTCTTCAGGTCCACAACTATCATTTTATGAGTCATAGCGTCGTGGCAAAGGATTTTTCAGATCTACTTTTATGTTATTTTTTTCAAAACTTACTAGAACAATTTTTTAGGTTCTATTTAATATATTTATTATTTTTTTGAAATAACATTTAGTTCCAACATGAATTAGGGTTGTATTATAATAACTTTTATTTCCTGGATCTAACTTTATGGTCGAACATTCTGCTCAGTTATTAATAAATATTTTTTTTCATTTTTCATTTCAAATATTTTTTAAACATATACACATAAATTACTTTTTAGCAAATATTTATAGTGTGTGTAATATTATCAATTAATTAACATCTTTTAATTTTTTTTAAGAGATAGTAAAATGGTCGTACTTATTGTATAATGTTTAATAAACTTAATCATGTAAAATATTTTACTTAATCATGAGCACAAATTAAACTTAAAAAAAGAGAGAGTAGAATAATACTGTGAAAAACTATTGTATAATGTTTTGAAAAATAGAAACACTAAATATGCTGACAATATAATTTCTTACACCGTTGTCTTATTTTAATGACCTTTTCAATATCTACTTTAAAAGTTGCATTGATAATGATTTTTTTATAATAATTTTTTAATCTAGTAATTTATGAATTAAATCGTAAACAATAAATATTTTCAAATTATATTTTTTACGTTAATACTTCTTTCATCTTTAATGACCATAATTTAAGGTTGTTTTACACGTATTAATAACTATAAAAAACATATTACTTTTTTAAAAAAATATTTTTACTAAACTAGATTTATAATGTTGAAATTTATTTGGATGTTTTTAGATGATTAAAATTACATTAACTGTTCAATGAAGGGAATACAAACGTATATTTTATACGAAAATGATAAAATTTTATATTCAAAATTATTATAAATAAATGCTGTATTTATGATTATACAAGAGAAAACATTAGTGTTGTAAAAATAATATTTTTATTTAAATGTAAAAAAAGTTGGCGTAATAAAATTGAATTGTTAAAATTAATGAACATTAATAGTCCAAACATTTTCCGGAAAAAATAAATAAATGAAGGGGCAGTAAATATGTTATTAATTTACGAAACGTAGAATATATTTTCCCTCCCTGTCCTGTAATAGTATTGCATTTGCATTTTTCTCTTTTCTTCTCTTCCCTTCACACAAAAGCTCCACTTGTTACTTCTTTCTCTGAAATTCCCCCGTTCTCTGTTTTCTCTCGCTCTATAAATAATCTGCAATATTTGGAAGCAAATTCTGAATCTCTCTCTGCAATGGACTGTGCCTCCGAAGATAGCTCCGATAACTCTCAGCGACCGGACTCACACAACGACCAGAGAGTCTATTTCGTTCCTCACAGGTCTCTCCCCTTTCAAGATTCCACTCATTTCTCACTTCAATTCAATTCGCGCCTTATTTAACTTTCTCTAAATCTGTGACTCCGTTTCCTCACTATGAATCTCTGTAATCAAAAGCATGGGAACTGACAATGCACGTTTAGGGTTGGACCAATCGAGGGAAGGCCGAATTTTATTTTATCGGTTCTGTATTTTTAATATTTTTCGCCGGTTAATCGAACTGGCTAGCGTGTTGATTTTTTTTGCCTTGTATGGATTTTGCTGTGATCCGAGCTTGTCTGCATTGGTTGATTGAGATTGAATGTGTGAAGAGCGTTGGTGGTTGATTCCGTGCGTTTCAGGTGGTGGAAGGATGCTCAGGATTCAATGCCTGCGGATTCGGATAAGAAGAAGGGAATTGCGTATGCCTCTTTTCCCGGTTCGTCCTATGCTGGTCCTATGAAGATTATCAATAACATCTTCAACTCAGATCTTGTGTTCAGTCTTCGGAGGGAGGAGGATTCGCAGCACATTCGTGAAAATGGCGAAGTTGGTGTATCTGGACGGGACTTTGCTTTGGTATCTGGGGATATGTGGTTGCAGGCACTCAAGTGGTGAGTACAGATGGATAAATGGCTTGAAACGTATGATGTTAGGTTAGAATGTGCACTGACGTAATTTCCTTTTTCTACTTCAACATAGGTTTGGATCCCATAGCTTTTAGAAATTTAAATAGCTGGTGTTGTGCTTTGTGTTTTGTGAAATTCTTCTGGCTTTCCACATTTATGGCACAGCTCTGTGCAGTATGTTCATGCTTTATAGTTTTAACAGTTTGTCTCACTCCATATTCATAGTCAATAACCACGTTGCCTGCTAAACTTAAAGAATTTCAAGTCTTTGCATCATTGATTTTTCTGTTTCTGTGACAAACGAGTTCTACCTCCTTTTTATTCTCGAGTTTCTAGTATACAAGTCCATTAATTATTTGAGAAAATTGGGTTTTTTACCAGAAGATATTCCAGATTTGATGCAAGATAGTTGGACTTTCTGTGAGTGTTTACAAGTTATTGGAAGCTAGTTTGCACCGTGCAGAGTCTTGTCCATAACCTTTGAACACATCTAAGAATACTTTTCATATTAGTGATGGACTTCTTTTCGAAAGTGCAAATCAAGTATACTCAGTGCCAGATGAAGAAAGCTCACTTGTTGACCGGACTTGTCACCTTTAGGGATGGATGTTATGGAGGGAGAGGGGTCTAGTGGTATTTATTCTTCTATCATAGTTGTTGTATGATAACCATTAAATAACCTTATCAATAGCTCACTCGACAACTTTTAAATAGAAGTTGATCACTTGGCCATTAATATCTAATTATATGCTAAGGAAGTCCACCTTGATGGTACTATGTTACATGTAAACCTAAACTTAAAAAAAAAATACCTAGCATATCAATGATTCATAGTTCAATGCACTGATTCATAATTTTAAGTCATATTGCTCCTTTGTCTTTGTTTTATTAACATATTTATCCTGTATATTTCAGGTGGTTACTTGCATGTTCCTTAATAAGTAGATCTGAGATTTTATAACATGCAATTGTTTGTTTTTAATGTGGATTTGGAATTACATGTTTCATAGTGCTTCTGATGAAATTTTTCTGACATCCAGAATATATAGATTGTTATATTCGCATTATCATGTGCTTTGGTATTTCATTTAGGCACAGTGATTCAAAAAATGTAATGAAGGATGACAAAGGATTTTCAGCTACTGACAGTGATATGGGAGATGTATATCCTTTACAACTCAGGCTTTCTGTTCAGAGGGAAACAAATTCTTTTGGAGTAAGAATAAGCAAAAAGGTTTCACTCTCTCTCTTGGCTAGCTTTTTTTTTCCCTTTCCAATTTCTTGTGTTGGTATAGTGGAAATGATCATGAAAAGGTAAAGAAGACAATAGAAATGAATAAGTGTAAAGGAGGGAAGTTGGTCTGTTTGTTACCTTTGAATAGCATTTTTTTTTTTTAAAGGTAGGTCCCACCCTTTAGAATTTCTCCCCAAAACTGTGAAGAAAAGAGGGAAGTGAACAGTAATATGATAGTTTACCAAGTTATACCCTGGCAGCTCCTCTTTAGACACGTGCAAGATCAGTATGCATTTCCAAGTTTTCCAATGTCATTCTCCATCACCCTGTGCAAGGAAACAAAAATTGTACTCTCTAGGACCTAGTTCAGAATTTAGTTGATTTTGATAAATATAATTTTTTCATGGGATACCGAGGGCTTAGATAAATAATTTATATATGTCTCCCATCATTTTGTTCTGTAGTCATTTAAAGAGAGATTTGAGATGGAAAATATTTCACAACTGAACATTTTCCGGCTCTTGTTGTTTGTATCTTTGTTAGGTGCACCATAGTATTTGGATGGGTCTAAGACTTGCATTTTCGTAAGATATATTTAAAAATAATACATACATATATATAGGAGGGATCAGGTTACTCTTCATTCTCACCCTTTATTCAATTTTTCAATCTAATGGTTCTTGTTAAATAAATATATGTATTTTATATAATTATGTGTCTTGTAATGGGGGCTTTCTTTATCTTTTCCTGCTGTAGCCTTTGGGCAGGTGCATCAGTCTACAAGACTACAATGCACCTTTTTTACTTTTGTTACAAACACACATATATGCTACAACTGAGCGAAAAAAACTCAAGCTTTTCTGTCTAAAACTTAAGATTTAAGTTGGCATCTGACGGGGTTGTGATCCTGCTCCACTGTTCCAATCATTGTTTGTCTACTTTCACTGTCACTGTCTTTTACAACTTTTCCAGTGAACCTCAGGTCCATCTGCCTCATCAAGCGGGACTCATTTTAGCTGGTCCCAAAGGAAAAAAACTGCTTCGCTCTCCTTCTCTTCTCTGTCTGGAAAGCATGTCGTAACAAGTCCCACATTGGGGAGGTCTCCTTACCAGGGAGGCCTTATAAGGTAGGAGGTTCTCCAACCTCTTGAGCTAGCTTTTGAGGGATGGTTCCCCTCTTAGCCTTATGGTTGTTACATTGGTGCTTTCATTGAGAGCCAGCCAACTCGAGAAGGGCTACCCACGGAGGGTTCTGACCGCCGGAGGGTTCTGACCATTGGAGGGTTCTGACCGGTAAGAAAGCCGAGTAAAGTGCTAGTGAGTGAAGTGCCGGTGAGTGAAGTGTCGTGGAGTGCAGCCATCGAGGATGCTGGCTTTCGAACAGGGTGGTATTGTAACAAGTCCCACATTGGGGAGGTCTCCTTACCAGGGAGGCCTTATAAAGTAGGAGGTTCTCCAACCTCTTGAGCTAGCTTTTGAGGGATGGTTCCCCTCTTAGTCTTATGGTTGTTACACATGTCTAAGTTCTTGTTCTCCCCTGGGTTTATTTTTCTCTCTGTTCCAGCACCATGCTCATTCTAGTCCTGTTTTTTCCATTTCTAGAACTCTAACCATAAAAACAGAGAAATTCAATGCAAAAGTTTTCTATCTTGGTCAGCTTCGGTGGAACTGTGGTACGTTGGTCAGCGATGTTATGATCATTTAGAGAAAGATATTATTGAAGTGCCATTATTGGATAGTCAAGAATAGTGGAAAAAGCTTGATTTCTAACTTTGTGCTTTATTGTTACACTCTGTAGAGTTCAATATTTTAGGAACCTTGAGGACTTTCAAAACATGTAATTCCTTTTGGAGGAAGACTCAAAATATCTTTGCGAGCAATATTCAATGCTTACATGATTCAGCTGAAAAGTTGACATCTTTCAAGTAATCTTATTATGACATGGTCTCTTTTGTTGTTCAAGGTCAATCTACCGTTGAAGAACTAAAATAATTTTGAAGACAGACTCTGGATGAAATGAAAAAGAAACTTGATAGGTTGTACATGGTGCTAGTCTTGCATGCAATGAATTTAAATTTTGATAAGATTTGTGACCAAATTTTGACCGGTCAAGAAGTTCTTTAATGGAAGGGAGAAATTGCGTAGGCAGTAATTAATTATGGAATTGTTTGACTTGATTACAAAAAGAAACAATACATGGGTATTTAAAGGAAAACTTAATCCTAATAAAGGAAGTAAATTGTGTAATGTGTAATTCATCCTTAATCATTAGATTGAAAGAGATGAAGGATCAGGATGAAGTGCTCCCTTTAAGTTACTCTTGGAGTAACTATATATAAAATAACAATAATAATAATAATAATTTGATCTTAAATGAATGTTTTTCTAGACAACATCATTAAGGAATTGTGATACTTATTTGTTTATTATCATGTTATTATTCAAATTCTAATCTGCTGTTTCCATTTATTCCTTTCTATTTTAGGACAATGCAGTTGAGCTTTATAAAAGAGCCTGCAAAATGTTTAGTGTGGATTCAGAGATGGTAATAGAATATTCTTTTTACAGCTATACTTGTGCGTGTGTAGAGGGATCCGCTTACTATAAAATTAAGTTTTGTCTAATTCCGCTTAATAATTCTTTATACACACTAAATTTCATTAATCCAACAGTTTGATTAAGAATTGACATTAAATATATCAAGTCCGATGTTTTGTGTAAAATTACATCCTTGTGTACGTTAAATTTATCTAAAATTTGATGTGCATGGTTAAAAGGATGATATTCCATGAATGAATGGTTAAATTTTCAAATTTAGGAAATGTTATTGAGTGGATCCCCTTCCAATGTTTTACACACAGTTAGACAATTCTACTATGACTGCAAGAAATTGACATTTTTCTAACCTGTTATTGCACAGTTATGCATTTGGGACTATTCAGGTCAGATAACCTTTTTTGTGAGTGACAAAAATCAGATTCCAGTTGACTGTCAAAGGCAGTCTGATCAGGAGGTGTGTAGTAGTATTATGTTTTGATTATAATTGGTTTGTTTATGCTTGTATGTCTTTGTATTTGATATTCACTGACGTTTATTCTACTTTGACCATCTTCTCAGCGTGTGTATGTATGTTATGAGCGTATGTATGTTATGTGCCATAACTCCTTAGCTACTTGGCATACTATTAAAGATTATAGTTTTTGCATACTTTAATGGCTATTTTGAAATTTATGGAAAAAATGGCGTGAAGTTTAGACTAGTAGTTCTCAAGTTCTCCTGTACATGAATGCACGGTGTGTCTTGTTTGGGGCCCTCTATTTTTATTTATTGCTTGATTTTTATAAATTTGGTAAACAGTTATCATGTTGATATGGTTCGGTAAATATCAGGTATTGCTATATTGATAGTTTGGCTTGTGATATCATTATTGCTATATTTCCTATGCTATTTATTTTATTTGCCAGATAAATTGTACAGTGTTCAATTGTGATTGTACTTATGCGATCAGATATTTGTTTTCAACTGAGGGCAAATGTTTAGTGGTCTTATGAAGAAGCAACCTGTTTCCTTTTAGATTTTCCTTATGCCCAAAAGTATTATTTTCTATTATATTTTAACCAGTGGTTATGATTAAGAATTTTTTTCCCTCTTAATTTTCCTTCCGAGAGTTGACTCTTTTCACTAGGTTTTTTGATGCAAGAACCATAGGGTTGAATGATTGGGGCTAAACTAAAAGCATAATTTCTTGGAACTTGATAGCTTCTTGTATCCTAGGTGTCAAGGAACTTAAAGATAACGATACCATCTTCAACAATTTCTTGGAAGTTGTTAACTTCCTGAGAATTTGGTTTTGAACCAAGCCTCATGGTGTCGTGTGATTCATGTATAGTTGATGTCATCTAACAGGATAAAGGCTATTATTGTTTTTGTCATTGCTGACGATAACTAAATTTCTGTGAATCTCTATCAGCTATCACTTTGTCTAGATTGACTGTCTCCTCACGGCTTTTAGTAAAATTTATGATAATGAGTTTAACTTCTGAAACATTGGTTATGACTTCAACTTCTAGTGAGATAAGGCTTTTGTTGTTGTTGATTGGATTGGATTTGATTATGTACCATATTAATGTCAACTTTGAATATATACAGATTCTTTTGGAGTTGCAAGTGTATGGGTTGTCTGACTCAATTAGATCTAGGGAAGGAAAAAAAGAAGAGATGGCAAATTTTTCTGGCAGTGCTTCACTGAAGATGAATGGCACTTTTGACAGCGCAAATTCTGATTGTACGCATGCCAATTCTTTGACCTTCTCTTTAGGCCCTGGTGAAGCTGGTTCCTTGGGATTAACTGGATTACAAAACCTGGGAAATACTTGCTTCATGAACAGTTCCCTCCAGTGCTTAGCACATACACCAAAGCTCGTTGATTATTTTCTGGAAGATTATGTTAGAGAAATCAATCACGATAACCCATTGGGCATGAATGTATGTAACTATTATTTTAAACACCGTTCATAATTTAATAGTTTTGATATCTCAAAATATTTTAGGGTTGCCATTGGTTGGGACTTGGAAACTTCAATACCTGTGGAGCTTCTACTATTTTATCATCTTGGTAATGCTTCTTTGCCAGGGTGAGATAGCTTTGGCATTTGGAGATTTACTCAGGAAATTATGGGCACCTGGAGCAAGCCCTGTGGCACCGAGAGTATTCAAATCAAAACTTGCTAGATTTGCCCCCCAATTCAGTGGGTTTAATCAGCATGATTCCCAAGTTAGTGCAGTTACCCCTTCCGTTCTCTTTTTGCCAACATTTTTGGCTTTATGAGGTTATTGTCTCATGCTCCCTAACATTGCCATTTATATTCATGCATCTTAATAGGAACTTCTTGCCTTTTTGTTGGATGGTCTTCACGAAGATCTGAATCGTGTTAAATGTAAGCCTTATGTTGAAGTAAAGGATGGAGATGGTCGACCAGATGAAGAGGTTGCTGATGAATATTGGCATAATCATTTGGCTCGCAATGATTCTGTCATTGTTGATGTATGCCAAGTATGTATTCATCTTATTGTATGCAATGTAGAATTAATTACACACACACACATGTTGTGAACGTCATAGTTTCTTGATGGTTAAGTTTTTTTTTTTTTTTTTTAGAAACTTTGATGGAAAATTAGTGATTTACTTGAACATTTATAAGTGTAGTAATAATAAGAGCAATTAGTTAAAGAGTTCAAACTAGCAGGTTCTTATGACTGTTTGTTATGTCATATTCACAAGTTTTGGAAATTACAGCCTGATTAGTGTCTATAATATTGCACAGAGAATTTTAATGAATTCAGACATGGCATTATTTGTGCAGAAAATCTAAATTCAAAGTACTTTTAAAAAAAAAAAATCACATGTATCGTGGTAAAGATTTATATAATTGAATTGCTTTGGGGAAAAATAGTAAGTTTCTTTGTGGTAAAGATTTATATAATAAGTTTCTTTGCTAATTGAGAAGTTTTTTTCATTTTTTTGTTCTTATATTCCTCTCCTGTGCTTATGGAGAAGTTTGTCCAAAATCACATAATTCACAATAGCAGTTAAGTCTGTAGGGAGTTAGCATAATAAGAAATCCTACTAGATTTAGTGATCCTCTCCTACCAGTTAGATTGCTATATTTTTTCTTAATTCATTTCAAAATGAAATTTGATGTCCTTTTCATGGTCATGAGAACTATTCTAATATTTTTTTCTTCCTATGGTTATTCTCTTTACCTTATGGGTTGCATTTATCATTTTATGCAGGGTCAGTATAAATCAACATTAGTTTGTCCTGTTTGTAGGAAGGTCTCTGTGACATTTGATCCGTTCATGTACTTGTCATTACCTCTACCTTCAACAACAATGAGGACAATGACTATAACTGTTGTTAGTGGCAGTGGTGATGTAATGTCTCCATTATCACCATATACTATTTCTGTTCCAAAAAATGGAAGATTTGAAGATCTGACCCGTGCTCTTAGCATTGCATGCTCTCTGGGGACTGATGAGACCTTATTAGTAGCTGAGGTTTATATTTCTTTATTATTTATTTAAACTCTTTTGGAATCACTTCCTCTCCATTTTTAGTTTCTTTGTTGATTCATTTTAATCCTGTAGAAAACCATGTCTGATGCTTTTGCCCTGTTACAGGTATACAACAATTGCATTATACGTTTTCTTGAAGATCCAACTGATTCATTATCCTTAATCAGAGATGCTGACAAATTAGTTGCTTACCGATTTTTGAATAATAATGTGGATGCCCCTTTGGTTGTCTTCATAAACCAGCGGATGGAGGAGTAAGTCAATATATTTGTGGTAATATAATAAGATTGATTTTCTTTAGTAACAACTTTTCATTATTATAATTTTTATATGTTGTAAAATAGTATCTATCATAATGCTTATTGCAGTGACAATTCATTGGAATTCAATAGTTATCTAATTATATATTCTCATGTCTTACATAGATGGCCTGGAGGGGAGCCCTCCTTTTCTTTCTATTTGAGGTTCAAAATTAAGTCTGTAGAATGAGATGTCCAATTTATGAAGCCTTTTATAAGTATAAAAAGATACGCAGTCACGGAAGGGCTGAATGATTTCATAAATTTTGTTAGGTCTCATAATCGCTACAACATGCTGATTGGATTCAGCATGGATTTTCATAACAGACTTGCTCACATACATACACTTGTTTTACTTGAGCTTCTTTATTGTCACGTGATTTCCTCGATGAAGTTTCTGTTTAATATAATTTTGCCAGGCAGTATGTCTATGGGAAGCGGACACTGAATTGGAAGGCCTTTGGAATTCCTGTTGTAGCTAGACTTTGTGATGCTACAAATGGATCTGATCTCCGCAATTTGTATCTAAAATGGTTCCATCCATTTCAAAATCCAATTGAAGAAGCCTTAGAAAATTGTGTTATGTCTAAGGAAACTGAAGTTGTGGAAATGGAGGTCACAACTCCTAGTTTAGGTTCAAATATGAATGAATTAGATGCTCCTTCAGATGGAGGAATGGAGTTTTACCTTACAGATGAAAAGGGGACTATGCAGAATTCCAAGATACTGATGAATGAGCCCCTAGCCAGAAATGGAGAGTTAAGGCTACTGCACGTGCTTGTGTGTTGGTCAGAGGAACAGGTTAAGAAATATGACACACAACTTTGTAGTTCATTGCCTGAGGTTTTCAAGTCTGGCTTTTTAGCTAAGAGACCTCAAGAGTCAGTTTCTCTATACAAGTGTCTTGAAGCATTCTTACAAGAAGAACCTCTTGGACCCGAAGACATGTGGTTAGTTAGCCAGTTTATTATTGCCTTAAGAAAAAACACATTCTTTGATTGGCATCCATATTAATCTATCCAATGCGGAAGATATTTTAAACTGGATTACTATATATTTAAGCTCTTCCAAATAGTTTTAGTTTGGGTCTCAGGTTAGCTCAGCATTTTTATTCAGCTCATAACTGCTATGAATTCAGTATTATCGTTATGACTAAATAGTGTATTATTGAAGACTGATCAGAGTCAGCCTTGTTTTCTAATAATTTGGATTTTCGTTTAAACTTTTATTTGCATGTATCTTAAACCTCAGTGTCAATCTTTTCGCCCTGTTTTTCCCTTCAATTAGTATATAAATTACAGCAGGTGTCAGTTTTCCTAATTTTAATCTTATAAACACTACTAGGAAATTAGATTTGCTAAAATTTTGTTTTCCATCTGAAAATACTGCTCTGTCAATATTTCATACAGCTATTCTGATCTCTTTTGAAGGTCTATACACAAGGTCATACAGTTGGAACATACCCATTCTTCTCTATAAATTACTTATCTTCCAGTCTGGCTATTATCTAAGTAGCAGTTTTATGCGATGTTAGGTACTGTCCTAGCTGTAAAAAGCATCGTCAAGCTAGTAAGAAGTTAGATCTTTGGAGACTGCCTGAAATTTTGGTCATTCATCTTAAGAGGTTTCAATACAGTCGTTACTTGAAAAACAAGTTGGAGACATGTGTTGACTTCCCTGTAGATAATCTCGATTTGTCAGCTTATATTAGCCACGGGAATGGTGAGTCTTACCATTACACACTTTATGCTGTCAGTAACCATTATGGAAGCATGGGAGGTGGTCATTATACCGCATTTGTCCATGTAAGTGCTGTTCATTTAAAACTTCCTTTATTTTTCAAGCTTATAGTTTGGGATGTGAGAAATGGTTTTCAAACATTTGAAATGATTTGAGTTTGAAAGCATTATGGAGCACATTAAAGCCCGTAAAAAATTAGAAATGGTTTTAGAACTCAAACAATGCTCATTATAACTGTCATGATTATGGATCGACTTTTGGACCTCTATCCAATGGCTTACTAGCTGTAGATGGTGAAATGTTGATTCTATATGATTGACATTTATATGATCAGTACAAAATTGTGGAAGGTTTTTATTATTTGTAAATTGTTAAAAAAAAACGCTCTCATTGCAATTGTTAATGTTCATCTGTTGTTTCTGTTCTTCTGTATTTCATGTAGCGAGGAGGTGATCAGTGGTATGACTTCGATGATAGCCATGTTAATCCCATCAGCAAGGAGAAGATAAAGTCTTCAGCTGCCTATGTTCTTTTCTACAGAAGAAATTTTGAAGTATCAACATAATGAGTAGCATATAGTTCGAATAGCCTATTGAAGCTTGGCACCATTTATTAACATTATTGCCACCATATACACGAATACTGCGGGTAAACTTTGGCTCGAAGGTAAGATTATTGCATTGTGGCCTGGTGGTCGGAGGATTTAGTTGCGGAATTAGTTTCTGCGCATCGAATTAAGATTATGTACATCGGAGCCTCTTCACACCCCACAATAGGGGTGCGAAAGTATTTGACCGCCCCTTTTCTATAGTCTTACAAGTATACTTAACAAGGTAGCATTCTTTTGTCATTTACTCATTTAGAAGTTTTAGACTAACTGGAGTTTCAGTAGGCAAGCAACGGAAACTTTAAAACTTCAGGCAGCGCTAAGGAAGACTATAACATTGTAACATTTAAGAGGTGAGGGACATACCTGAGATATGAAAGCATAGTGTTTACAGCTGTTTAACCTTGTAAAGAGAATATCTATTCTAAAGAGTTAGACCAAATCCTGTGAATTAATTTTACCTCCAATTATATTCTTTCCTAGTGAAGACTGATTATTCAGGTTTGCCTCAGCATTTTGATTTTTTTTATTTTCTATTATGCTGACCAGAATGTGGTCTGTCAGAAATTGTAAGAGTTGTCTTGAAAAGTAATTATTTTTATCGGGTTTGGTATTTTCTTGCAATAGTCGAAGTTCTTGATATATCATTACATTTGGCGAGCACAAGTACAAAGAATGATTTTTCCCTTAGTTCACAAAACATGTGTTTGAATAATAGTTGTTCCTCCTTTGAATGCTTCCCTTAGTTGTTCAAGGACCTAAAATGGTAGTGATCTTGGATAAAAAAAAAATCGCAATCCCAGGTAGAAAAAGATACGGGAGAAAACAATGCAATTGGTAGAAACTAAGTTGGTGAATTTGATTCTGCTATTCAGTTGGATAGTGCAATATATATATTTGGAAGAAATGAACTACACTGGATTCGAGTAATCCCGTAATAATGTCTGACAGTTGTTAGTTCTCAGCAGGATGGACCACGCATCTCTGGTTTCTAATTTAGTGTAAGACGTGCCAGACCTCTTTGATTGTTGTAGTACCATAGTACTTGGGGCAGCTTTAAGCGTAACCAGGACCACTGGCTTTTCAAATTCTGCTAATTGATCAACATTTACGTGGTTCTTAGTTGCCTTTAGCCGGAGCCTTATCTGCTGCACAAGTACTTCTTCTTGTCCTTATCCTTAATATAAGACACCATCTAAAAGTATTGATGATCCTTTTAGTAAGGTTATTTACATTTCTAGAAAGCATTTTATATTTTATTTATTTATTTTTCTTTGTTAATAGTGGCGTACGGTACTTGCAGACTTTGATATCTTCACAACATCTAAATAAGTTGATAACTAATGAGGGCAAAATTGATAGTCAATCTGAACTCACATATAGACAAAAAATGGTTTAGTAAAGTACAACTAAATTTTAATTATCTTAGTCCTATTTAATATAATGCTTTTATTAAAAAAATCATCTTTAATTAGGGATATCATCCTCAATAAATAATATGATTGAGAGTAATTTTTAAAAAATATACTATTTTTAAAAAAATATACTCTTTTTTAAAAAAAAGAATCAAGAATAGTAAATTAGTTTGCATATTTATATTGGTCTGTTTAATTTCAAAGGATCAAAATTAATATTATTTATAGAACACCTAGGGGCATTGTTTGGCTCGCAGTACTAGCAAATTTTTTTTTTAAATAATAATAAACTAAAAATTTGAAATTCCGACCGCTAAAATGTTTCCTGTTGGACTCCTCAATGAAAATGTGTCTATTGGTAGGTAAACATTAGGTGAATTTCTCGAAATGAATTGTATAATTTGCGATGAGACTAAGTGAATGTTTGATTCTACGTTAAAAAGTATTAAGTCCACATTTACTCTGACATTAATATACATGGTTTTGCGTTTTTAGATTCATTTTACGTGAAAAAAAAATCGAATATAGACCACGATATAAATTAAAAAGGACGACAAGTATTTTTTTTTTCTTAATTTTAAGAAATTACACTGATGTGTTCCGTCCGTAGTCCATAATTGGTATTATGCTTTAAATGAATTTTAGATAAAGATTAGTGATTCCTTTCTTTTTTTGCAAAAGAAGACGGTAAAGAAAATTGTTTAGGATGATTTAAACCGTAAATCCTAAACACATATCCACAGAAGACAGCTGTAGAGATATTCATGAGTAGCTTACATGATTTTATTCGCGTGAAAAGGACAGGAGATTATATAAAACATCAAGAAAGATTCCGTGGTAAATAATATTTCTAAAATATTAATTTTAACTACCTTAACTAATGTCACATTTTAATCGACTTTACTTATCAAATTAAACTTTGTTGTTATTGTTGAAGATTTTATTATATTTTTCATTATCACATTTTTTTAATACCAGTGTATCCTACTAGAAAAGATAAAACAAAAATGTACGTAAATTAAATACAAATTTGTATAAAAAAATTATGTATTTCATATTTTGTTGTAAAAACTGGTCGACCTAATGTTAGTAAGCTTAGTTTCTAGTTCAGTAAGTTAGAAGAAACTCATAATAGAAAAACAAAATATGTATATAATGTGCTTTAAAAAGAATAACTAATTTATGAACAAAATAAAAATAAAAGCAACAGAATTAAAAATTATTATTATTAATAGTTACTCCATTTTTTTCTTAACCGTTACCATTTGAAAAAGATTTGTATTTTAACAAACTGTCATCTTCAAAATTCAATAGAAACATTATATTTACATATTTTGTATTATATTAATGAATTGTGTAGAAATAAAAATAATAAAATAGAAAAAGTAAAATTACTTTTTATAAGATAGAGAAAATGTATTAATTTGTTTTAGTTTATTGAAAATAATGTTAAACAGATTTGAAAAAAAGAAAAAAAAAAAAGGAGGGGGAGGGAGGGTTGTTTGGTCCGGAAAGGAATCTGTGGTAGTACTGGGAACTTAGCAACGGCGATAAGTGAAATGACAGTGGGAATTGGGTCAGAAACATTCATTTATTGTTTTCTGCGAACCAAGATAAAAGTCAAGTCACCCATCTATCTAGCTCTCTTTCTTTCAGACAAGATCCATACCCACACACACTCACACATGCATCCAATTAACCCACCAACTTATTTGATTTGACGTTTCAGATTCTCTACTTTTAACCTTTTCCCACCGGACAATCAATCTCATCCCCATCACTACTTTCATTTCCCTTTTCATCTCCATCTCCTCCCAATCATGCTTAATTGTTTATGTATCTTTAAATCAAAACAAAGGAATCATAAAATTTCGTTTTTAAAAAATTATATTTAAATAGCTTCTACATTATGACAATATAAAGTGCATCAAATATTAACTTAAGTAAAACAAATAATAATGTATAAAACACAGACAAAGTTGTACAACTATAATGAATTGATGGTTCATTTTACTGTGACAATAACAGTTGTGAAAATAACCCTAAGGAGGAATAATTGATTGAAAGAAATGGTGTTAGGGTGGTGCAGTATGTGGAAGTGTGCATGATCCCATGAATAAAGGATTGCAGTATAATGATTCGGAGACAGTGATGACCCCATTAGATCGAAGGCATCACAAAATAGTTGGTTTTTGCACAAAGCAAAGCATGCGCGTTTTGACCATATTCACATACAACACAATATCCCACTACGTCTTGTCAAAATTACTCAAGCAATTTCCATTTCATGGATTCGTGAGAAGAACAAACCCTATATGCATGTGCTATTCAGTATTCTGCCCCCAGCTACAACATTCGTAAGTTATCATGATAAATAATTTAAGGGTGCTAGCTGGTTTGGTATCATATGCATGCATTATATATACAAGATGATTGAACAATTATTTAACAGCAATACTCAATCAAATTTATCATACCTGTCCTTCTAAAAATGTTAATGCTTTTGTAAATATTTCAGTTTGCTAGTAGAATTTGAAATTTATGCTTTCTAAAAATTGTTCCTGTAGAAAATTACATCTTGCCGGAATGTTTTCATGTTGAATTTATTATTATATCAGTTTAAACAAATAATAATTATTCAATCCCTTTTATTTTAATTTTTCTGCCATTAAATGGGTTTGGATCCAATATAAATTCAATCTGATGTCATTTAACCAATTTATTTTAGTTAAAATCGGATGAGTTTAATTTTTGAAAAAAAATTACTAAGATATGTCTGAAATATAATTTATATGTTTAAAATAATTTTGTATGATAAATGTTAATTATGATATAACTTATATATTAAAAACGGGTATTTATTATAAAATTTAATAAAATAAATAAATAAATATTAATTCTGTGTGATTCTCAAATTAAAACACTAGAAAATAGATAATAAACCATAAAAAAAAATCAAAATTCAAAAAAATCTATGACATTTCATATAATAAAACTAAAAATATAGTTCAAAGTATACATTTTGGAATTATAAGTCAAAATAATTTTACAATATCTCAAAGAAAAAAAAAACATAATAAATAACTAATTTCTAGTTTATACTTGATTATATAATTTCTTATTTAGTAATTATATAAAATTTGGTTTGATTTATATTAATTGGATTAGTTTTCAGTATAATATCTCAAAATCCAAACCATTTTTTTTATTTGGTCATTGTAATTTGTATTGAATTAGATAAAGTTGATAACTATCCTTACTAAGAAATATTAAAATACTCTTACAAACATATTTTCTATTGTAGACTGAAATTTATTAGAAATTATAAATTTTAATAAGGTTCATTTTCAATTTAACAAGTCTCTGTTTTAATTCTGTATTTTTTTTAAAAATAACCAATAAAAGTATATATTTTATATTTTTCTAATAATTTTCAATCAATAAAAAATAACATTTATAGAATTAGAGACTGCACCAATAACATTCATTATTCCTAACACCATGGAAAGATTATTTAATGAAATTATGAATTTTTATACTTTCACACTTAAAAGATACATATTTTTACTGCATGAAAAAGTATATTAATGAATTAACTTAATTTTTTTGAAAATGTAATTAATTTTATTTATATTTGAGTATAAAGGTAGTAGGACCTATCAATCTATCACAAGCATTTGTTTAAGGTTTAGTCCATATTACATATCAAGCCTTTAATAACAACAATGGGCATGTTCTTAAATGGTATGAGAAGCACTAAACACCATTTTTAACGCACTTCTCTTTTTAGTTAAAATTTATTAGAATAAAATTCAGAATTTTTTTTTATTAAGATATAAGATGCTCAAAATTTTTGTAATTTTTAATAAATTTTAGTCAATAAAAAATATGTTCAAAAGAATGTGATAAAAGTGTATATACAAACATTTTTCTTTACGTCGTAATCATTTATCTTGCCAAATAACATGTCTACCACACTAAATAGACTAATATGATTTACGACGTAACATCTCTATCACAAACCTAATGAAATTTATAGCCATTTAAAGCATAATTTGTTTGTTTAAACAATGATATGATATAATATCATATATTATTTATGACAATTTGATTAAAAATAATATTATTTAAAAACAGAATGATCTGTTAAACCTAATTAGCTTTCTAAAAGTTGCTTTAAAAAAAACTTTTTAGAAATCTTGAGCATACTTTTTTTGTTATAATACATATGAGGCCATAAATAGATTGTGCCATAGCCCTTAAACACATTCTCTAACTTATATATATATATATATATATATATATATATATATCAAGTTCATTAATAATTCCGTACCCTAGCTGTAGATTAGGGTGAAAATCAAGTAGTTTCGACAAGATTCTAAATTCTGGGATCAAATCATGGTCTCATGTCAGTCAATAGTTGTTGATTTTGCTTTTTATGAAATTTGGTTGATGCTATGAATTTAGGGTTTATTTAAGGGAAACTAGGTTTTCTCTTTAATCACTCTCTTCTGTACAGTTCCTTTTCTTAAAAGGATTAAAAAAAAAAAAACTGTTCTGAGAAGGTGACAGAGGAAGACATGCATGCAACACCTGCAGTGTATGGTGTTCCTTTCAGAAGGCTGCACTGCATTAACTGAATAAGACGGTCCAGGAAGAACAACAAAAGAATCATTCAAAGAAAGCAATAGAAAAGATAAACAATTCCACCTATTTTTATTAGTTGGTTGAAGAATCGTAATGTTCAGATAGCCCCACAGCGCAAAACTCCAAGGTATCAAGATCACTCTCCCAAAAAGAGAAAACAAAAACCCTCATGAAATAACATGCTGGTTCAAAGATTGTTCCTCTGGATGAAACACCATATTCCCAAAGAAGGGTCAAATGGTAACCTTCTCAAAGATGAAAAGCACTGTTCAAGTGGTCCTCTTCGAGGATGAGAGAGTGACACATGGTGTGTGCTTCATCGATCACTTATCATCAAAAGAATAAAATGTTGCAATCGTCCTTTTATATGTAGAGACGCAATCACCCAAAAGAGATAGATATAGATTATTATATATAGGATATTGAAACTTACAATGTTTGTTTACTTCAGTGCCTAAGTTCAACATAGTAATTAATGCAATCACAAGAATAGAAATCATATCATAACAACTAGAAAAGGGAAACACATACAATATAATATATGATATTAAACATGGGTGAGAGTCTGAGGTCAATTTTCAGGAGAGTCTCCCATCCAGTTGTATGATTGGGAAATTTGATCAACCTCATTTTTCACTGATTTAGGTCAAGCACAGAAAAAAAAAACAGCTGATAATAAACTTCCATTTATATGTAGTAATCAGTAAAATCCGTTAGACTTTTGAGTACCATCTCCCTGGTCCAACTTTGCTTGCTTATTGCCATCCAGCTTTAACCCAAAGTGAATGTGAGGGAAATGTGCCCACTGCATATATATCAGAAATAGACATTCAGAAAGGGAAAAAAAAAATCAAGGGTTCCAAAGGATACTAGAAGCCACAATTAGTATAGCAGTTCAAACCATATATAGTATGAAAGACCCTTGAAAGGGTTTCTAATAAGAAACACCAAATTGGTTCATAGAAGTCGTGATAGACAATTCTAGTGCATACTAAATCATGGGACTTTATAAAGTCTTAAAAATGAAAGAATGTCGTTTGAATTTTGAAAATGATAAGTTTTTAAAAACCACACTTTTGACAAGCGAAACTGAACATTTTATTAGCCTGTCAACAACTTCATGGCAAGTTCAAGTCTCATTTTCAGTTACCTATACCTGTACGTGGATTTATATTTGTGGCCTACCAATTAATGTTTTGCAGAGCTTGTTGCAAAACATGGGAGTTACATGTTTGGAGGAAAGCATGAAATGGAATCGAATGTTGCAGACTACGGCCTCTCACTCGCATTATTGCAGATCAGATTGGAAGTGTTGGACTCATACCATCATGAACAAATACAAAATAGAATCTAGAAATTGAACCACAAACTATGATGCTGATTTTACATGTTCTGGTTTAAGCAAGTTGGTTGATAAATTCTGTTATATTTCACCAACCAAACGTTAGAATTTGATCTCATACAGTAGTTAATCGTTGCAAAAGATTTTATGTGTTTGAATCCAGAGGCCAATTAGAGGGTGCATCATTGTATGGTACATCCCCATATAAAGTACTAGGAGCATCCACTACTAAATAAATATTAGAGTCTCCTATTTCAACTTTATTAAAATTAGTAAACCAGCAAATAAAGGGAAATTATGTATGATATCTAGATCCTTCTACCTCCTCACTTTGTTCATAATGAGAAAGAAAGAGTAAATTTGTTAGGAAGGAAAGAAAACAGTAGAATAAAAAAATAGTTTAAAACACATATATTTGATTTTAGATAATTAAAAAACTAGGAAATAGAGAAATAAGAAAATACATTTTCTATTGTTTTATTTAATAAACAAACAATTGTATTCCTCTTAAATTGATTATTTTTTATTCAATCTCTCGTTAACTATTAATTTTTTTTGTTTTTGTAATATATATATATATATATATATATATATATATATATATATCACATTTTTATTCTAGGTATACCTTTTAAAAATAATTAATAACAAAAATCATTTTTTGTTATTATAATCAAAGTTTAAAAATATTGATGATTTGTACATTGTTATGTTATGGGGGTAATAGAGAAAAAAATGGAAATAAAAAAAATATTATTTCATAAGAAAAATAGAGAGAGATAAAAAGAATATGATGATGAGTTTGAACTGAACTATTTGTTAAATATTTTTTTTAAAGAAATATACTAATTAGATAATCTAAAAGTCATATTACAAAGAAAAATGAAAAGAAAAAAAGTGCAAAATCAATTCATATCATCAAGAAAAATATTTTACTCATTTTAGCTTTAATCTTTATAAAATTAAAATTTAAACTGAACTATTGACTATAGTATTATCAATTAGTTAAAAAAAATAAAAAAGAGTATAAAAACGAAGGTAGTACACATAAAAAATTGATGAAACCACAATATATTCTCCACCTCTTCATAACTTCAATGTACTTAGATTCATAATTGTTATGTCCAAAACGTGTGTCCTTTTTACTGTAAAACTTATTTTTACACAATTAAAAATCAAAGTTTCAACAAAGTTAGATGTAAAAAAGATACCCCATAAAAGAATATCGATCATATCCTTCTTCATAGACTTGTCCTTTGCAGCATTCTTTCTGCAATAATATTATTCCAACATCTAAATGCTAATTTCCTACTTCCCTTCCATATCCACCTCTTTAAATCACTTTCCCCATTCTATTTCTCAATTTTCAAAAGTTACTGGTGCTAAAAGAGGTGAATTATGCATAGAAATCACCACTTTTTCACAATATTTTTTGCATTAAATACTATATTTCTCCACCAATATTGTAGACTTCAATTAGGAAATTCCAGGATACGAGACATGTCAGTAAATCAGAAGGAAATGACAGAGAGAGTGAAGAATTGTGAATCTTAAGAAAGGACTGAAAATAATCATAACTCTATACTTGTTCTCATGCAAAAAAGTTATTTTCACTTACTTTTTTTCATCTATTACTTATATCATCCTTGAAAACACTAAATTCATATTAAACAAAAGTAAGTTTTGTTATCTAAAAACGTAAAAATGATGTAAAGAAATTGTATTAACGTCACCACTGTTGTGCAGGACCAACTTTTCGTGTAGATTAGGTTTGAAACAAGTCTATTTGAGTCAAACTTATCTTATTATATTTCTATATTTTTCTTTTTAAGTTCAAGTTCAGTTTAAGTTTTCAGATATAGTCAATTTTTTAGAACAGAATGATAGTAAACAGGTAAAAAATGAAAACATGACTAAATAATTATTATTTATTTAAATCAAAATGCAAAATATTTCATATTTTTAGAGCTTAAAATTATAAAGTTCAAGACTAAAAATGGTATATTCAAGATAATTATATTATATATCACAATTTAAGTCACGAACCAATAAATCATATTATACTTAAAGTTCAACTTAACTAGTAACAAAATTAATTTTCAATTCAACTTAAATTCATTTACTTCAACTAATTAGTCAAGTCTTGATTTAATATTTAGGATCCAATTGTAAAATGAAAAGTGATTAAAAAGAAAAAAATAATTAAATGATAAATAATATGACATTTTTTATTAGGTAACATTTCTTACTTGTTTATTCATCCTAGGATGAGAAAATAGAGTGAAGGAAAATAATATATATTTTTAATTACTTTCCTCTCCTCTCCAAAATTTTATATGGTAATTTTATAATTATACAATTACTTAATATCTTTTTTAAATAATACTTTTTGTTTTACTATATATCACTTTTTAACAAATACATCTTTCAATCTAATTTATATTTCTTATTAATTCAAACTATATATAGTAACACTGAAATTATGTTACTAAATGATTAAAAATGTGAAGTGTAAAACACCACCATCCGATATAACATTTGAATAACTAAACTATTTCTATTAGTCTAAGTGTTTAATTAATATTTAGATTAACCTCTTAGTATAAACATCAAGAGTACTCTTCTCTAGGTTACACATATTACATACACAATATTATTGATAACAACAAATAAAGCAAATTGGTTTTCATATATTATTTACAGTTCTGCATTTTGCAGGCATAGAATTTTATATATCATCTTTATTTTTTATAACACTAAGCTTATATATAGAAACACAGGTTAATTTATTAAAAAGATTCTTTTTTAGTGTTTTACCCAACAAACTATTTTCTGAGGTCTACATGCATGTTCATATTTATCAGTGTATTAATTGTTAAAATAAGAGAAACTTTGATTATAGGAAGCAGTAGAAGGACATGATCATATGCCATTACTGCACTCAAGTTTGATACAAACCTGCAGCCTCAAAGAGGAAGGAGGCGTTTGCTTTATTGGTAAAGTTTCTACAATAATTGTGAGGATATTGCATTTCAACCTTTGCCATGTTCATATAAACGACAAACTCATCTTTTATTGTGCAATCACCACATGTGAGAGGAAAGAATATATATAAACTTGCATGCATTCTTATACCCGAATGCATGTGCAAAAATGGAAAAATTAAAATAATCAGAAGATTTAAACTCACATTTTTTGCAGCTGTGCTAAAAGCTTCTCTGTGACTGATATCTGGATTACTAGCCTTAATTCTTTGTATTTCTTCCCTGCAATCAAAATTATTTATACATTTAAATGAATATAACATGTATTTTTTTTAAATAACCATAATTTCATTAAATGCATCCACACATAATATGGTGAGTGTTCATAACTTATTTTTTATTTTGAAAAAAAAAACACGTCAACAGATTATATATTTAACTAATTTAACAAGTTATAGTTTACTGTTTTTAGAAAATACGAAGAGTATATTAATATATATTTTGTATTAATACGCTTTCAAAAATTTTCAGAAAAAAATGTTTCAATAAATCTAAAATTATAACATGCATACAAGTTATGTTTCTCTCAGTGGTTTTTGAGCTATAAAAACAATAACATGCACTGATGGTTAAACCATAACACAGTTTTTTTTTTTTTTTTTCAAATCAAGTAATTAACTCCCTTAATTTTTCTTTATTTTTCCATTTTTTTGAAGAAATTTTTTATATCTATCTATTAAAATTTTCAAAAAATAATATTAATCACTACTTTTAAACATGTTCTTAATTTTACCTAAAATCGTGAATATTAAGTAGTTAAAAATTTAATATAAAAATATTATATTTTTAATTAGTGGGTTATCTTAAAAAAAATAAATGAAAAGGAAGATTATGGAACTAGAAATATGGTATAAAATAAAAATGTTTTAAAACCGGTTATCATTTCCCATTATATATATCTTCGTGTTGTTTAAGGTTATATTAGTGTCTAAAGTTATCTAAATTTTTTTAGTTACAAACATTCTCTAAAACTTTAATAGTCATAATAAGAATTTATTACATTTGTATATAGTTCTTTATAATATTAATACAATTTATTTCAAATGCAAGTATTTATGATTTCATCCAAATTGTCCATCACTCAACCAGTTACATTATCTTATCTGAATAATGAATCTTCATTCTCATTTTTTTATAATTAACATTATAACCATTTTTTAATCTAAACTCAATTCAATACTAAAATATAACTGTGGATATACACTATAGAGGTGTAGATGGGACATGGCAAGAAGTTTATTGTAAATTGAAAGATCACTTACTTAATGAACCTGTTATAAGCAGAAGGAACACGCTGTCTCTTCTCTGGAGCTGTGTTGAACATGAACTTATTTAGTTTACTATACTCAACAGATTGCATAGAATGTAAGTATATAAGCACCATATATCAACAGTTAAATTGATTATCATTAAATGTGATTTTCTAACAATCAAAATCAGGTTGAGGAAGCACTTTTAACAATAGCTGGCCCCATACTTGGACAAACTGGTGCAGTGGCAAATTCAATTCACCAAAAAGTTACTGAAGTACCACTATCAATATCAATTATCACGACCAGATGAAAACTCTTACGTAGGCACAGTTTATTACGAGTAATCAAATCAATCTGACATGAAAAGGGGTGTATATATATAAGTCACATAGTAAACTATTCGAACATCAAAAGACATTACTATATATATAATAATTTCTATGCATATTTCTCATTTACTTTTTATTTCTTACACACAGATGAAAAATATTCTCTAAAATTATAGGAATAGCAAAAATTGTTCAGCTTTTATTGTACGAAAAACATTTTTCTTAAATCGTGTAAGAAAAGGATTTTCATCTTTAAACTATCCTTCTGCACATGTTAACTGGTTGATTAATTAAGTGATTATAATAAACATCAGTGGAAAAAGAACTATTTAACTGTGAGTTGTGACCAGTAATTAATGTAAAATGAAAAATGAAAAATAAATTTGCAATATGTACGCATATGTTGTGAGATGTATATCTAGCTAGGGCACAACATGATTGCAATCAATTAAGGATGGGTCAATTTGTTGCGAAAGGTCACCATCTGGTTGGGGACACTTGAACAGATGAAGAAAATATAGGCCAAATTGGGTATCTTTGTACCACAAAGAACTTGATACTCAGAGAGATGGACGCCCACTCTCATGAAAAACTGAGTTTAAGGACAAGTGGCCTCAATGATGGCATATATTGTTCTGCTTGGTTACATTAATTAACTTGTGCCAGTTGTGGCATAACGTAATCTGAATCATTGTGTCCTCAAACCTTCTGAGAGTATAACGGAAAAGTTCAGGCTGTCCTAGCTATAGGACCCGTGTAGTTCATACATACATATATCATATATGTATGCCAAAAGCTAAACAAGAATTAATGAGATAAATAGAGTGTGTGACTCACGACGAATGGGAGGAATCCTAGGTTGCTCATGATCTACGGACTCAAATGATTTGCATTTTGATGATGATCCCAGTTCCTTGTTGCATGCTTCTTGAACACTTAGGTGCTGTCTCTGTAACTTAGCAACGGTAGAAAATTGCTAAGAGAACATAGTCCAGAAGTTACTCAACAAAAGGAGTGCAAAATGGAAAAAAGAAAAAGAAAAAAAAAAGGAGATGGAAATAATAAAAGAACCAAGGGGGTGTGAAATATATACCTGAGTTTCTTGACAAGGAAAAGGTTGAAGTGATGCTCCCATGTTAACTGATAGCAGATTGGCACAATGTCCACATCTAACCGTAACTACGGTGAGCAAACTGCTGCATGGAACACTAACCTGCCAAAGCCCATTTTCGAATGCAAAAACAAACAAATATTATCAGATTCAATTTCACTAGGCATTAGCTAGAAACTAAGTAAGCTGAATATGTAATTAATCTTAATTTGTCTTACAAACACAAGGGAATTGAAGAAAGGTACATCAAATGAATTGGGATTCTCAATGCTTTAAATTATTTCGTACATAATTGTTTGGACCATCACCATAACCAAATTAATATCAGAGCTTCACACTTGTCTATGTCAAGGTAATTATATATGATGGAGAATTGAAGCTATCACATTCAATGGAAAGGTGGTTCCAAGCACCACACCATTGCAATAAGAAAACAAATTGGTTGGTGAGGTTGAGAGAGAGAGAGAGAGAGAGAGAGAATGAGAGAAAGGTGAGGGAAGTAATATTTTTTTTTTCTTTCATTATGAGAGAGAACAAGTTAGTGCAGCTAGCATATTGAATACTGCATGTTAAGATAGCAGGAAGCTGAGGAACTGACATAGCAAATTTAAAAATTAGCACTCTCACAATACTTTTTGGCTGACACTGCAAGGCAAGATGAAAAAAGATAGACATTGTAGCTCATAGTGATCGAGGAGGAAAGAGAGAAAGAGAAAGATGAAAATGACATGACTGGAACGGAAACCATGAAAATGAAATTGAAACATAAACACCGTTAACCACTACTGCTACCAAACAGACATGATTAAAGAAAAGTGATGACCATCATGAAGCAGATTAAATTTACTGCTCCTTGTGCAGTGTCAAGATCGGAGGAGAGAAAGAAAGAAAGATAATGCTTTCTCAAAAGAAGTAATTTCAACAGAGATATTATGATGAAAGGAGAGAAAGGTAAAGGAAAATAAAGAGAGAGAGAGAGAGAGAGAGAGAGCATTGTATTTTTCTGGTGCGTAAATGGATATGTCTGGACGTCATAATCGCCACAAGTTCTTGTAGAAAGAAAGAGAGGACACTGTCTCAGTACTTAAAAGGTAGCAACAAGTCTGAAATTGTGAAAAAACCTTGATCATCAAAAAATGACGCTTCACTGGCAAATCATGATGAACAGAATACACCACCTTCAACCTCATCACTCTTCAGTGAAAAGGAATCAAGCGAAATAGACTGAGGAAAGAGAAACCACCTCATAGATTTGTATAGATTTCATTTTATGAGCTGAGTACTTCACAAAGAAAACAAGACATAAAAAAAACTTGTAAATTAAGACAACGGTTGACTTTTTATACAACATAACATATATAGCATATGAGATCATACGATGCTATATATCCTTATGAAAAATTAAATGAAAAAAAAAAATAAAAGAGGGGAAAGGGCTCCTTATATGACAAGAACCCTAATACTGGCAGTAGCCCTACCTTTTCACAGCCCTCAAATTTCTTATGGGTATCTGCGTTTGTTTGCAAACATCTCATTCAGGCTTACATAACTGCTTTTTTTCCTTCAAAATTAGTAAGTGCCTTACAATTATTGAAAGGTTCTGGGTTTCGAGTTAATAATTGTCTCCTGCTATTACTCATGAGAGTGCTGATTTCATGTATCACTTTGGCTTACCTCTAACCAAATTAACACCATAGCTGAACTTTTAGCATAAATAGAGGTGATGGAGAAGAACCCAGTTACACTTTCTCATAAAATATAAGATGAGAATCAATTAATTCTTGATCTATAGTACATTCCAGTCAAGAAATTCACTTCAATGATGGATTTCAACTCCTTGGGGAAGTTACCCTTCTTCAAATCTTTGCTTTCATGATCTCGATTCAAGAGATATAGAAAACCCGTATTGATAAATTATTAGCTGGGAAAACACATGGTATAATAACAACAAACAAGCTTAGAAAAATTCAGGAGAGAGAGAAAGAGAGAGAACAAGAGATAGAAAGATAGAGAGAGAGAAGAGAGAATTCAGAAGTGTACCGCTAGAGTGGTGTTGCAGAAGTTGCAGTGAACATAACAAACACGTTCGGCTGCCATCATGTCCATTGACATTTTTCTTTTTTTAAATTGTGACTGTCCTTTGTGTTTGCTTAGTAGATTTATAGGCAGATCAGAGAGGAGAATTCCTTCACTGAAACAAAGTGAACAAGCTAGATCAAGGATTTACAGAAGACCCAGAAGAATATAAGACAGAGAATCATAAAGGTTAAATAAAGAAAAGAAACTTTGTTATTATTATTTTTTTAATGCGAAGAGAGAGAGAAAGGGAGGACGTGTACAAAAATCTCAATGGTTAGGATGGGACTAGTCTGGTCGGGGAAAACCAGTGAAGTGGAGTGGGATTAGTGACACTTTTGAATTATGAAGAAAAGATGGATTATAGGAAGTGTGAAAATATTTGGTGTGTGTTTTTTATGTGCGCGTTTGTGAAAGACAGAGAAGCAGAGAGTGGGGAAAGAAGGTGTGTGGGGGTGGATGTGTTATGATTGAGAAAATGAGTGGGTGGGAGTGACCCATTCTCTCTAACCTCTCTGCCTTTCTGTAGCGGACGAGGGGGGCGAGACATTAATGCTTGGAATGTTTAACATCAGATGAGATGATGAGAGAGAAAATACCTATCCACCACTATTCTTTGTGTATGCTCTTATTACACAATGGTTTTTAGTACTCATGTAAGTAAGATAAAGCTTATAGGGATCAGAGACATGTTTAGAATTCGTGTCATTCAAATCAATGCCTGTGAAAGATAGATGAGATAGTTGGTTAGATTCATAGCCTGACAAATGGTTCACTAGTTTCATTACCACTTTTCCTCTTCTTTTCAATGCATTTAACACCTTTTTCAAGTCTATTCTGATTTCTGACCCTCAAGGGTTACACAATCTGCTACCTCAACTTCAAGTCTAAATCAAATTATTCACAATGTTAATTACACAGTAAGTCAACAACAAAGCTTAGTAATAATAATGACGTCGAAGGACTATGGAAATAGCAAGGATTGTTAATTGGCTTTTGTCCATTTTCGTGCCTCGGGTTTTCTATTGCGCTGTACTATTTGCAAAGTGAATAGACATCTTTTTTTTTTTTTTCATCAGAAAGTGAACAGATGTACATGTTCGTGTATTTTCCTGTGAACGTCTTACACGTGGGATTTTCATTTATCATGACTTAGTCCTTCAGGTTTTTTTATTGGCCTTGTTTCATTCAATAATCGTATATGGCTAGTAAATACAACGGATAATGCACCAGCATTTTCAAACAAAAGGTACTTACAAATCCAATAATTACTTGTGCTGATATCTAATTTTCCGCTACAACTAGGTGGTGTTGTACTTTTACATGTGCGGATTTTCAATATACACAGCTATTAACTTTAATTAAACAAAAAAAAAAGGTTTTTAAGAAAGAAGCTATGACTTGATGAAACGAAAACTTGAAATGTACCTTGCTCTGTGTACGTACACTGCATTTCCACCACCACCTTTGGTCAGGTCAGGTTTAAATAGTTTCACTCTTTCGGAGACCATATTTTGAAACATCCAAAGGAGTTAAAAGGAGAGGAATATTTGCAGAGAAATTTGAAATTTATGATGATATTTAAATGAGGCATGTAGAAAATTAACATACAATTAGTCTCATTATTCTAATGACAATATATACAAAGGCTTTATTTGTATTATTTCCAAGTGTGTGTTCATAGGGAACTATTCTAGCAGAGGACTAAGGTGGTTCGCAGTAGAAATCACTAGTTATATAAGTAAATGAGGAAAGAAACGTTTAATTAACAAGGCATCAAACTTATATGATGATTCCATGTATACTCACATTTAGGAAATTAGGGCACTTTGTAATATTTGTAACCTAGTTATTCCTATATCTTATTATGTAATTAAAAAAAAAACTCTACATCTTATTACTAATAGCAGTATAAAAAAATCTTATGAAAGAAAATAAATCAAAATTAATAATAATAATAATAATAATAATAATAATAATAATAATAATAATAATAATAATAATAATAATAATAATAATAATAATAATTCTGATAGGAAAAATATTATTCACCAAGTCTTACTACAAAGTACTGACTCATGGTAAGATTTTATTAAAAATGTTATTTGATTTGGAATCAGGTTAAACTTAGGAAATTAGGGCTTGTAAAGCCAATCCTAACTCGCTCCATTTTAAAAATAATTGTTTTATTTTGGAAATTTGTAAATATAACATTTTACTAAATTATAATTTAAATTATTTAATTGTATTACAGAACAATAAATATTTGGATTATCATATGTAATGCTAATTGTAACTGTTTAATTTGTAAAAAGAACTGAGAAAGGTTAACATATGTTGTACATATATATGAACAATGATATATCATTTTCTTTTGTAGAGTGCAACATGAAAATATGATTTACTATGAATTAAGAATTTTTTTTAGGTGTTGATGATAATACGCTGAAGGCTTTTGACTCTGGTATTAAGAATTTTTTAAGCCAACTGGATTGTCAGATATCGAATCTCTTTTACTCAAACAAACAATAGGATGTTTTATTCTTATATTCTTTTTTTTTTTTTACTTTAGCATAATTCATTATTTTTTTATAATGTTTTCAAGTTTTCTAAAATTTATTAGTATTCTTTCTAGGAATAAGAGTGTCCGTTTTCCTGTCCATTATGATGGTATTGACAAAGTCAATTTTCATATTCAAGATATTGTCTTTTATGAAGTTTTAATCTATTGCGATTTTGTCCTTAAAAGATTATTTGGTAGATTATCACGGTCTCGACTGTAAGTGATATGAAACTCATAAATTCATTACGAAAAAAAAAAATCAATTGAGAAATATAACTTATATGAACAAGAAGGCAAATTTCTTTTGAAAATTAATTGAATGCTTGAAATACATGTAATGAGAGGTCGACCAAGGAGTTTTTTTTTTTTTTTTCTCTTTTCTTATAATAAAAATTCTTAATGAAATCACGAGGGTACAAAGATTAACTTGGTTAGGAAATATTACAAGATCGGGGAAGAGTATAATCTCATCTACGAACGTGAAATGACAATAGTGTGGTGAATAAAGAACAAATGAAATATGTGTTTCCAAGGTTAAAGATAAACTTAAAAGAGGATATTATTTTATTTGATATTAATACAAACTCAAAATAAGTGGCAGAAAAGTTTTTTTTTTTTTTTTTTTCTAATTGCGAAATTATTGATCATCATGTCTAGTCCCTTAGTATCCCAATAAGAGCTAAGCCTAGATGAGTAAGCATTTATAAACCTTTAGTAGATAAGAGGAACAAATTATTCTCTTGGAACAACAAGCATATTTTCGGAGGTTGCATCACTATCCTCCCTCGTGTTTGATTACTTTTTGTTTCTATACAAAACTCCAAAAAAATGGTAATTCATTATCTTATTAAGATTCAAAACTAATTCCGGAAGAAAAATGGTGATGGAAAGAGAAAATTGGTGTTGAGATCTAAATGCGAGTTAAACTTTTATTTTTGATAAAAATATGAAAGTCGAATTCATCATTCTTAATTTACTCGTGTTCTAATTTATAAATATCTTTCCATTTTAACCTCTAACAAATTAAAGGAAGGGTATGCAAATAAATAAAAAAATTAGAAAAAGGGATGTGAAAGTACTAGAACTTTTCCATTCAATTTTTTTAAGGAAATAACAAATAGGGTAGGGTATTGGTTGAAAAGGAACTTTTATGGAATAGGAATTAGTAGCAAGGTGTGTGAAATGGAGGCCATAAGGAGAGGAACAACAAATTCTTCAAAAAGTAGTCAACATGATGGAGGGACACAGAACAGAAAATATTGAGGAATAAAGGTTTTGCGAGAATGAATTTCTTTTGATACATAATTGGTTAGGGAAAATAATTTAAAACACAAACTTTCTTATATTATTCCTTATCTTGGTGGGAAAGGAGGAAAAGCTATGTAGCTAGCAACTATTAGTAGAGATAGAGAGTGGCAAATAGAGCTTCAAATGCCACAATATTTGAATGGTTGAAAAATTAGAGAACAAAATACTTAATAATGTTCTTAGTCATGAAGATATAGTAGAAAAACCAACTAGTTTCTTGGCATTTGAAAATGGATATTTGAGTATTATTATGTGAAAGCATCATACAATCTCATGATCCTTTGGTCAAGTCTAGCACTTTGGTAGGTAATTATTGATGAATACCTTCAAAAAATGAAATCTTTCTAAGAGTTTCTTCCCATGATCGTGACCTTAGGCATGATTTTTGTAAGAATGATGTAGAATATAGAGAGCATTTTGCTGTTAACTTGTTATGTATCTTATACCATTTGGATAAGACGTTATCAATGATGCTAATATAATGTCCTTCTACTATAAAATGGAATAGATCATATTTGGTTGAATCAAGAATTGACACATGAAAAGAAATTCATGGAGTCTGAGAAACTTCTATGGCTTTTGAATCATATTATATGTACACAAACCAACTAAGTTTCAATTGAAATCAATAGATTTTCAAAGATTGTATCTGTGTTATTTTAAGAGTGTGTTGTCATCAAAAATAATTATTTGTTTCTCTCGTAATCATAACATTATATTAGTTAATTATACCAATTGAAATCAGTCATATTCATTAAGAATTGTTATCAATTTTAAGATTGAGTCATTATAAATCTCTTTACATTTATGTGTTGAATTCCTATTACTTTTAAAAAGTGTTACAATTTTAAAAGAATTTATCTGTAAAAAACCTATTTAATTGTAACTTTCAGATAATATAAAATAACTATTTTGGTATATATTTCGGATGATTAGGGTAATAAAATCTATTGGTGTTCAATTAAAGTTTTTTAAAAATTTATAAAAAAATAGTATTGAAACTAACTAGTATATTTCAAATGTCAACAAAAATAACGATCAAAATCATTGAAATGTTGTTTTATAGAAAATAAACTCTTTGAAAAATGTATATTTTTTTATAATGGTATAGAAAATTAGATTTCGAAAATATTTTAAAATTGTATTCATTAGTATTATAAAACACAATTCATTTTATTCCTTTTTAAGTGTAAAACCGCAATAATAAATATTAGAATAAATTATTATTTTTTTCAAAATCATTGACTAAGGAAAGGTTTAAAATTAAAATTTGCAACTCATCTAATCTCGGTGACTAATTTAAAGGCTTACTCCATAAATTTTAGTATATAATTTCCAACCCAATGAAAATTTAAATATGTTGAAAAATTATTTAAGGGACCACTTGTTATAAATTTAAAAAAAAAAAATATATATATATATATATATATATATATATATATATATATATATATGCGCTGGAAATAAAACAATTTGATGAAAACCTTGTAGGGATTTTGAAGGAGAATAATAGAACCTAGTTTATTTTTTGTTTGTAATTATAAAAAAAAAAATTGGAAGTAATTATTTATGAAAATTTGTTTAAAGTAATTTTGATTTTAATCAAAAAAATATTATTTTTTTTACTTTTATTTATTCAGAAGAGTCACAACAAACTCTCACGATCGTAAAACATTCCAAAAGTGATTATCTAAAAGATTTATTTTGCTGAAAAATGCTATATTTTTAGAATAAATGGATCATTCCTTGTATATATTTGTTTATGAAGAAATAAAAATAATTCTTAAAAAAATTAAAAAAATAAATAAAAACTTTGCATTTTAAACCCGAGAAAAATCACTCTATGCATCGTTCATTTTTAAAATTTAATGATTAAAATTAGTAACTCGTTGAAATGATTATATTTAAAAAATAAATAATTAAGAGTAACATATGTGTTAATTTTTTAGTTTGAAAAATTGTTGGATCCTAGTTTACTTGAAATATTAACGTGGTGTTGTTTACATAGAAGTAGATGTCAGGGGACCAAACAGAATTGATGTTGTGATGTGTAGCCCAGTGTTGAAGATAATGTTACTTTTATGATGGAAGTGGCCACATGCATGCAAAAAGTGCCCCCAAAAGATAACTTCTCTGACGTAGATTGTTTACCATCTTAATTTCTAAAATCAACTCTTTTTAATTTTATATTTTATTTTATATGTGTTCTTATAGGTCGCAAGAATTTATAAATTATCTTAATTTCGATTGTTAAATTATAAGAGAGATTCAGGAAATATAATATAAAATGAATATTAATTCTTTAAATATATTATTACTGTGAACATTTAATGGATTTTTTTTAATAATTAACCTATCTTGATATTTTGCTTCTAATAATGAGCAAAAATATATTAAGTGGAGGCGACACTCGAATTCATATGCACATCACAATCAAAATCACGAAAAGAAAGTTGTCTAAGCCCATATTAGAGCCCGTGAGAATTTTCCAGAAATATAGGCAATAAAGATATTTTTTTTATGAAAACAAAAATTTTAAAAATTGTATCTTATAAAACAAACTTTTGTCAAAAAAAGTAAAGGAAAAGGGGAAAAAAATGGAAAAGCTAATTAAACGAAAAAATAAAGACCAAACTAAAATTCAAATAAAAA